GGAGGTAACCGCGCGTGGCGCTGTAATCGCCCTTCAACGAATTTCGCGCTAAAATGTGTTCACAGCGTATTCGGAAACTTTTGTACCTTAACGTACGAGCACCTGACTGAAAGACAAGACTTCGTCGAATTTAATATCTCGTCGAAAGGAACACATTTGAAAAACGAGAAACGAAACTGCTTCGCGAGAGGCAAGCTGTATCTTTTTAACTTTCGTTCTGGGAGGTTAACTTTTATACGTGCTTCGTTAAACCGGATATCGAAAATAAGTTAAATCCTTGTTGGAGTAGGGTGGTTATTAATTGAAAAATGTTTCGCATCGATAATAATGGAATTACTTTCACCGAGAACGAAAACGAAATTTAAAGGTTATGTTGGTCGAAAGTTTCGCGAGGAAGTGAAGAATTTTTGTATCGAGTTTAACGATTCAACGATTAATATTCTTTTAGGTTATTCGACTTTATCTGCGATTATTCTACGAGTATTCTATAAAGGAGATACTTTAATTGAAAGGATTTGCTGGTTTGGCCAAGCAACACGCGTGGACGTTACTCAACGTTAATAGATGCTATGACATGGAAACGTTAAAGGTGATCTGGAACACGAGCGACGGGAACGATGTCGATGGCATTTATACATATTCAAGTATACCGTCTTCGGCACACGTTGTGCTTGATACCAACAAAGGAGGTGTAAAACTGGTCGTGCCATTCCAACCTAGTCGGTATTACATAATCTGTACTTTTCTTTCTGTGCCAGTCTCAATGATAACTGTTATATTATACGGAGCATGTTAGAAAATCTGCTTTTTTCTTCAAATAGTTTTGCCCTGAGTGCAACGAGAAATCGTTTCATTCGAAACGGTTCATTTTAAATTTATTAGACATTTGTTAAATACTTTCGCACAATTATCTGTTTCCTGGAAATTGTATATGTAATTAACGATAAGAAGAAATTTTCATTTATTTCAGTATTGTGATTTTAGATTACGGGGTTATTAAACGTATGCATAAAATTAACAAGGTGACACAATTAGTTTGGGTGATCATGAGCACATCGCTGGCAATCTCCATAATCTAGCTCAGATGCCATACGCGTTCGATCACCTTCCCCGAGCTAAGGGAAATCAGGAGATTTGCTCTTGCGAAAGTTCTTGGTCGACGAACAATTCGACTTCGATCAGATATTAAATCGTATTAAATCCTGCTCATGAACCAGAATTATTTCGCCGTCAAATCGAAATTTTCAATTTAATACCGCGAGGAAGGATATCTTATTGCTTTTATCACGGTGTTTGAAGTTCAAATAGATCATAAAGGAAATGGATAAACGAGAAAGTACTACATCGTTTCATGTTTGTCACGAGGCAATTCTGTTAGTCCTAAAACGTGACTAAAATCACAATGCCGCACTTTACATCGTTGCTGGTATTACCAACCTGTATTTCGAATAATTTTTATCAAGAAAATTTCGTGCGTTAGCATCGTGTATGTGGAGATTCATTTTATTTATTTATTTTCTGTTTTTCATTATAATCGCTTCAAATATTTCCTGTTTGTATCTCATTACAAATAAAATACGTGGAATTGCAACTGAAACAAGATTATCGAGTGAAATTTTACATAGCAGTAATTGGCCCAATAATTCAGAATTATGTATGCAAAATTGCAAAAATTTCCTGCATAAGCATCATTTCAATGATGATACGTCTTACTTTTTTTGATGTTATAGTTACTTCATGTTATCCATAATGTTTCTGTTTCATTATATAAGATACGTGGTGTAAATAAGGTAAATCTCATGAAATTATACAGAACAGTAGTTGGTCTAATAATTCAAGGTTGCAGATAATCAACTAAATTTCAATTTCTTATTACAGTTAATTCACGTTGTTCACAATGATTATACCACATTGAACAGAAAATGCATAAAACTGAAATTGTAAGGAGATCATCCAGTGAATTTCACATAGCATCAGTTGGCCCAATATCTCAAGGTTACATAGAATCCAGCCTTTGTTGAAAACGCTCTCTTATTGATTTATCGCGGGGTTCTTCATCTCTGCGCCCTGCTGTGCGAGCAAAGGAAGTAAAAAGGAAAAGTAATTGAAAATAAATTGAGAAATTCTCATGATACCTTGTAAGTACTCATAACTTTTATTTTTCACTGCTCCCTGTTCAAACGTATTACTCATCTATCCTATATTTGTCATCCTAGATGCCACTCCTATGCATCTTGCGGGACACAAGGAGAAGAAAGTTTACACGCTACTCTAAAACTGAACTTTAAATCTATACGAAACAATCTGAAATGCCATCAAATCCACTTCAACTTCACTTTGTTTCTGTAACCGACCCACAGCGGCCGTAATTTCAGCGCTATTCAGTTTCTGCCTCCACTGCCACCACGATGAATTATTCAAGATCGATTTGTGACAGATAGTTATTTGTATCGAATGCTCATAGCCTGTAAGGAATAACCGGATGGAATGTCAAGGATAAGCACTGTGTGTTTTACAGCAGATCCAACTAAATATAATAAGTACTTTCCAATCTACGTTAACCCTACAATCCTAAGCCTTTAGCCATCCATAGCAAAGTCTTAAAGAGTTCCTTGAGGCTATAATACTATTTTTCTTGAAAAAAACTGAAGCTTGCAATTGTGAAATTTTATAATGTACACTGTACATGCATGTGTTATAGTAAAAATTAAAAATCGGTGAATACTATTTTAGACTAATTAATTCTAGAATTAACCGAATATTATTAGCCAAAAATAGTTCTCATTGATTAAAATATTGCAGTCGTTGCAAAAGGAATTGCACTTCGAAACGATATCTTTGTAGGAAAAAGAAAAACCTTAATTCAAAATTGCACGAGGACATGTCATACTGTAATAAGTGAAATTTTGAATTAAGCACTTCTTCAATGTTTGTACACGATGATTATTACTAGTTTTCCCTATTTGAAAGTACATAGTTACCTAAGGACCGATTTTAATGAAGGTATTTCATTAACTATTTCTTTAAATCAGTCAGAATTATTAAAAATTGAATGATTTTTAGCCAATACCGGTATTGATTGATGGCATTTAGTTTCCTAGAATTAACTAGACGAAACTAGTATTGACCAGAGACCTTGAATAAAATCAATTTTATCTAGCCCAACTAGTTTTATACGATTTCGAATTTTTACTACAACGTACATGGATAACATGATAGAATGATATTAACTCTTTACACTCCACTGGGGTTACTACAGCGATATTGTTAATACTAAACATACCACGATGTAAATGAAAAAATAAAAGAGCTTAAAAAAGGAAAATTGCAAAAATAAATAATCAAAGCGAACACGTTGAATAAAGAATTTTTAATCAAAATTTTGAAAATGCTCAATTAGGTTGTAGGTTTAATCTGCAATTTGGATTTATTTGCACCAATGAAGATAAAAAAACAGGGTAAAATTGTTTTATGAAGGAATTTAGGGAAACTCGCGAAAATTTTAAATTTCTAAATTTTTTTCACCACGAAAATCTGTTTACAGTTATCAAGTTCAAAAAATTTTCGCAGTGCAAAGGATTAAAATACATTTCGTTACAAGGAGCCTCTCTGTTAGGAGTTGTAGGATTAAGATTACACTCGAGGCTTAATCTGCCTATGTCACTGGTTTACAGAAAGTGTCACGAAACAGGGGTTCGAGGGCAAAAATCCATCGTTTCGTGCTACCTAGTAATCGCAGGGATTCGAGCTTGGATTCGAATAAATACGACAGATAACGATCAGGCGACACCAAACGCTAACGAAGCTCACGATTTTCTTCAAAGAAACATATCGATCTACTCCAGAACTGCAGAGCTTGCCGAGCCAATATATGCTTTCGGCTCGTTACGGCCAGTTTATAACTGAAAAGGTATTATTATGCATAATCACGAAACGATTTGCATAGTAAAAAGACTTTATTTGAAAAGAGTTACGTTTCACACAGGGTGGCACTCGAAGGAAGTACAGCCCTGAGTACGCGTACTGATAAAAAATTGCGCATGAAATCAACCCTGGTTTGCAACTGACCTTCAGATAGCTATGAAGGACTACCATTACCAAAACGACACAAACATAACGTAATAAGCATTTCAAATTTTATACGCAAATTTTATAAATTTATTATTCTAATAATTTAACAAAATATTAATAAATTGAATAAAAATATATTTTTAGGTTCGGTATAGTATTCGAGGAACGCGAGAGAAATCGTGAAACGAATTTCTGATTATAGTAATCTCTTTCCAATTACTTTCCCAAGCATAGACTGGTCACAATCAACGATACGAAAAATGTTTTATTAAGGCGAACAGAAATACACATATTTCTCATTTTTATTGCTAAAGGATTGGAAGGAACGAATGAGAGGAGAATAACGGGTCGTTACGGATTACTCGAATGCTATAAATTTGATGATATCCCTATTGAATAAACTAAATCCGATTTGTTGCATAAATAGTTAAAGAGAATATTAAATTGAAATTCAACCATAATTTTTTCATCGGCGATTATGGTTACCGATGTATTCCAAAGTGAGTTAGAAATTCGAATAACTTTAAAACGCGAGAAACGATTATGCGAACGATTTGCCAATGTTTGCAGTGCTACTTAAATTTCCTTTCATAAATTTTAATCGAATTAATCGTTTCCTTTCATTTCGAATTTTGCATTCCCTTAATAAATTTCAGTAAGATTAAAATGTAAAATTCAACGGGAAATTTAAATTTCAAAAATTAATCTTGACCTGAAATTTAATATCGAGTCTCGTACCTCTGCTAAGATAATTAAGATTACACGGCCAAGATATATTTTCCCTAGAGAACCAATAGGTGACGCAACGAGAGCAACAGTGAAACGAAGGCACGAATTACTTTCGTTTCGATGTCTCATATGTCGAGACAGTTGTTTCGGTTTATAGCCGGTCGATTTGTAAGGCGTTGAAACAATCTGAATCATCTTACCGGGCGAGAAGCACGTAGGAGGTTTTACGACGCGACGAGACACACTGTAACGTTGTTGCTATTTCGCAGCGAACGTAGGCTCCCTCCGTGATATTAGCTCGGACGTTGGCGCAGATGACACGGTGAAACGGCAAGGAGCGTGAGTAAATACGCAGTGTTCAGCACGAATGGAAACTGGCCAGTGCGAAGCGCGATAGCGAGTTTGACGGATCGCAGTTGTTCCCCGCAAGTTTTCTCAGGCACCCACCTTTCTTCTTTCACAACACACGACCGAACTCTAGTCTATACGGCACTCGATCTCCACTCTTCTCGCCTGTCTCCTCCACTATCCTTTATGTACACGCATAATTTGTCGACGATCCGGCTAAACGTGAAACACCCACGCGTCCTGCGAACGACCAACGAAAAGCGAAAAATGAAATAATTCCCGCGAGTGAAGGGGCATTTACAGGGATACGTGACGACAGCGATGGTGGCTAGGATAACGGAATAACAAAAGCACCGGAGAGTACGCGTCGCCGATAAGCCGCGGGCTATCTTTTAATCCCGATGTAACGTTCCGACGATCACGAGCCTCGCACGAAAGAAAGGAAGAAAATAAGAAGAGACGAGATGATGCGAAAAGTTAGCCGGAACTCTTTCCAAATTTTCGGCATCGCATCGCAACGTACTGTGACAGGCCGAGTGTTCCCCTTTTATTCCGCCTTTCCGCCAAGCTCGAATTGTTTGCAGCGGAGCGACAAGTACACTCCGGGCTTCCTTTATCTCCCTTTCTCTGTCTTTTCTTCCCTTCTTTTCACGAGGGACCTCCCCGTCCGTTCACTTTTTGCCGTTTCGAGAACAATTACACAAGTCTCTGAAGCAATTAGTCTGGCACTCGAACGCTACGGGAACCGTACCACTATCGCGCCCTTTAAGCTTCTAAACCGTAATACTCCGCGGCTTAGACGCCCGCTCCCCATCCCTCTCCCTCTCTATCTTTCACTGCTTCTCTGTCGCTCTCTTTATTTCTCCCCTTTCCTCACTCTGTCACTCGGTGGCCGTCGGTAAAGGAACGTTGACGGCAACAACGTCGCCGACGATTGTCCCTAGAACGTCCTGACGCGCCTCATTTCTCTCTGTCCCCATCAACGAGCGTGCGTACTCGGTTCTCGAGACGACGGCGATCGTCGGGGTCGCACAAGGTACACACTCTCGTTTCTTTCCTCCGTTTCTAACGTTTCCCTTCTTCCGACGGATCGAAACTGTACTTTCATGCGTACAGAGATCGATGACGCTTACAACGAAGATCGAACCATAAACTTCCTCCTGACTTTACGCGCAAGTGAGAGAAAGAGAGAAAAAGAAAGAGAGAAGGGAATTTAAAGCAGAAAAATAGAGAATACCGAGGGAAAGAAAGAAAAGTGGACAGACGAAGGAGAAGAAGGAAAGGCGAAGGAAGAATAACGGTGGAAAAATACGGAGAACGAAGTACAAAGAGAGAAGAACAAACAGACGCACAGAGATAGAGACGATTCGAAAAGGAATCTGTACGGATTTGTACGCAACTCTATCGAACGCGTGTCTTTCGTAGCACGTACGAATGCGGCGGAGCTACTAGCTAGCGCGAGGTAAAAGAGACGAAGCGAGGTTCTCCCCGAAGCTGATCCTGCGTGCTAAACGAGCCGCCTCCGCTGCCACTCGGCCCCCACCCTTTCACCGGTCGACCCCCTCCAGCGCCCCTCCAGCCCCCAGTCGCGCTCAGCACACCCCACCCACGGCATTACGCTGCTTCCACCACCGCCACGACCCACCGCTATTCTAACCTCCACCGCATCCACCACCGACGGCGCTCTGCTCGCTACGTTACCGTTTTCTTTAGTTTCGTTCTTTCGTTCCTTCTTTCCTTCTTTCCGTCCTCTTCTCGCTCTTCATCTCTCCCTTTCACCGTCTTTCTCTCTTCCCCTATGCGCGCATCGACGTTTTCACCGCTACGCACACTCGTATTACTAACTGTCACGCCGAGTATGCACGATTTCTTGGCGGGAAAATAGCCAAAGCGATGGAAATCTCGCAGAGAGGTAGAGAAGTACGTTCGTTTGCCATTGTACGTATACCTGTTGAAAAAAGTCTATTCGCGCGTTCGCTATTCCGCGTGTTACCGAATATAGCGTTCAATTTTTAAGCTGTGCTATAGACTGGCGTTTAAAGGTGTCTTTTCAATACTGCGCTTTTACCACGAGATTAAATCAGAGATGACTGCTTCGGGGTTACAGTCTGCTGTTTTTTTATGTACAGAGGTTATGTTTATACCGGGTATTCGTTAATTATTCATAACCACAAATTATATTTTTAATTCTTTAGTAACTTATTCTATACCACACAAATTAAAGTTTTTAATTTTTATAATATATTTTAGTCGTAATACGATTGCGTAAAATATGCAAATGAAAATTTTAGCGCATTGATAAATTATTTATTCTCGATTAAATATAGAATATCGAATAGTCAATGGTATAACCTCTTTAACAACTGAATTGAAATCTAACTGTAACCCAACTCTTTTTCCGTCTCAATTATTATTAAACGTACATACAAGTGAATTACGCAGAGGAATAAATATATTAATGCACATGATATGGAAACATAAATTTATCGTTTACTGTTAATATAAAGAATTATAATAATTATGATGTATGCAGTATATCTATATTCCACTTGGTATTATGAAAGATAATAAACAGAATATTTCTATTATATAATAATTTCTAAATTTCTAATTTCTATATAAAACAGGAAGGAGAAAAAAAATTATATTTACAAGTAGAAATAAAATTTTTCCATTTGAGAACCTGTGAACTCGTTAAATTTATTATACATAGCATTGAATAAGTTTTAATCGTATCGTTTCATTCCTAATTACTTCTATCCATATTAATATACCTGGACGCTAAAAACAATGTTAAATAATACAACAGGTTCTCGCACTTTGCTTCATTCGCTAATATGTGCAAACAATAACATGGATAGAAATAATTAGTAACGAAACGTGGAATATACAGAGTGTTTCACACAATGAAGTAGAAGCATATTTTTAGTAATAGCTTGAGTTAAAAAGAAATTTCAGAGGACAAAATTACACGGTGTTACGTGCCCTATATTTCTTAGTTACTTTGTGTACCTTAATTGGTGAACCTAATTGGCGGACATAAAATAAAAAAAATACATAATTGGTGTATCTAAAACACTTTTTTTTTTTTTTTGAACAATTACATAATTTTCTGTTTTACCTAATCAATTCTTTTTTGTACAAGATACCAAACTTAGTTAATTGAAAATTAAACGGACTCGAGTTATTCCAACTTTCAAAAACTACTTCATTTACTTTATAATTATTTTTCTTTTTTATAGGAAAAAGGGTGAAGTTGAGATTTCAATGACATCGAAACAGAAAAATATATAAAAGTACAGGAATGTGAAACGCAAAACACTATTTAATTTTGGCCTTTCAAATTTTTTCCTATTTCTATCTCTAAAGATATAGCTCTGCTTAGTTGGAGAATCTCTATACTTTCCACGGAAAATTAAGTACTGTACAATTTTTCACCAGAAAATAAAATTGCGCGTGAAGAAATTTTTTCCTCCAAAACTGTATTTAGTTCCATCCTGTATACCCAAATATTTATTTAAGTAAAAATTCAAATTGATTTGTCTTGAAAATGTGGCCTAAAGGAATTTTTAATTTCTACTTTTTGAAAGTAATTTAGTTTTATTTTGTTGGTTAGAGACTGAAACTCGAGACTCGCATCATGCGTTTCACTCTGTGGATCCATCGGTAGATGGCTCCACGTGATTGCTCGATCGCGTAATCGATTTTCGGAAACATATTTTTTTACACGTGTATTATTGATTGTTTAATATTATCTGAAAGTAATTTAACTTTAATTCTGTTATATATGTATTGTTGAATTTTACTATATTTTGTATATAATACATGCAGCTTAAGCACCTTACTGCAATTATTGTTTATTATTTATTAAAGTACTAATTGTTTACTAATTTTTGATTTATTACTGTTATCCAACAACTTATTTATTATTTTATAATTTATTCATTCTCTCGGGGTTATTCTATGATTTATTTATTATTCTGAAGTTATTCTATAACTTACTTATTGAACTACATACCTAATTTAAAAAAATGTGTACTTTGACTAAAACAAAGAGAAAGAAGAAAATACTCACTATACTATATACATACTATACATAGAATGGAATAATAGGTTCACTTATTTTATGAATGTAAATTCGTGCAATAATTCGGATTGGATACTAAAAGTTTTTAAATATTAAAAATTGTAATACAAGATTTGAGATATTTTATAAAATTGAAACAATAGAAGTTATTGTATTTATATGGGTAAGAAAAATATTTATCTACATACTTTGTCCTATACTCGTGTGTAGAATTAACGGTAAATAATACTGCAATGACTTTGAGAAATACGTAAAACCTGTGTTTTCTTCGTAATAATTCATAACAGCCATTCAGTAATGGATGTGCAATCACTTTACTTTACTGAAGATGAATGTCCGTCATAAATAATTCTCACAATCATTCAATGCACGCATATAACGAATTTCCATTAGCACGTCAAACTATAAAACAACAAAGTTTATGTAAAAATAACAGTTTCAACTATCATATATTTTAACTGACTGATGAAAATTTATCTCCATATAAAAATTCCTCGAAAAATTAAAATGAATAAACGCTAGTTAAAGTGGAAATCGAAGTGAATAAATTGAAAACAGCGATGCACGCAATATTGACGAACGATTGTCAAAATGTAATAAAAATAATTGAGTTGTCTCAGAATGTAACAATTTCGTTCGTGGAACAGCTGAAAATTAAAAAATTCACCAACAGCTAATATATTTTCTGATAAATCAGGATTAAAACCAGTGGCAGTCGAGGTAAATAAATTAAAAACAGGTATCCATGGAAATTCAATAAAAAAATTTCTCAAACTCGTTAAAAATAATCGATTCGTTCCAAAATTGTACAATTTATTCTGCGAATCTGATAAAAATTCAAAAATTCACCAATAATTAATATATTTTGATAAATCAGAAATAAAAACGCTGACAGTCGCAGTAAATCAATTAAAAACAGAATTCTAGGCAAAATTGATAAAAAAAAATTGCTAAAACTCGTTAAAAATAATTGTCTCGTCCCAAAATTGTACACTTTATCTACCGAATCTGCTGAAAATTCAAAAATTCAGCAGCAGCAAATACATTTTGATAAATGAAAAATAAAAACAGTGGAAGTCGAAGTAAATAAATTTCAAAAAGAATTCTAAGCTAATTTGATAAAGAGATTGCTAAAATTCGTTAAAAATAATCGTCTCGTCCTAAAATTGTAGACTTTATTTAGCGAATCTGCTGAAAATTCAAAAATTCAGCAGCAGCAAATACATTTTGATAAATGAAAAATAAAAACAGTGGAAGTCGAAGTAAATAAATTTCAAAAAGAATTCTAAGCTAATTTGATAAAGAGATTGCTAAAATTCGTTAAAAATAATCGTCTCGTCCCAAAATTGTAGACTTTATTTAGCGAATCTGCTGAAAATTCAAAAATTCAGCAGCAGCAAATACATTTTGATAAATCAAAAATAAAAACAGTGGAAGTCAAAGGAAATAAATTTAAATAAGAATTCTAAGCAAATTTCATAAAAAAAACTTGCTAAAACTCGTTATCATCTCTCAATAATCATCTCTTTCCTAACCGAAATAATTTATTTTAAATCTGCGGAAAATTGAAAAGCAACAACTAGTGCATCTTCGTAAATCAGAATTTAACAGAGCAACAAGCCTCTATTGAACGATGATCGATTAAACTGATCGAGCTTTGAGCTGGCAAACCGCTTGTTCGTACGCCTGTGAATCTAAAACGATAAAATGGTAGTAATATCGATTAACGACTCGTTACTGAAAACTGTAAGTAACGTCAATACGAGGTATGTCGAGTAATCAGGTCATGGATACTGAAATCGACTGGGACAGGGTCGCTATTGTTTCTCCCGTTTATATTCTCTGCAAAAAGGAAGAGAAGAAAATTGTGCGTTTTGTCTATGCATGCCTGCGTGATTGTGGCTTCGAAAGCACCCACGAGAACCATACGCATCCGTTCTTCCTCCTGCAAGTTTAATCATTGAAAAACGAGCGAACAAAGACCGTATTCGTTCAGGTTGATGATAAATTCGCGCTACCACCTTCATTCCTAAACGAAACTAGCAGTCTTCTGTTACTCTGCCAACGTTCCAAGAGTCCGGGCTATCTAAGAGCCACTGTTGGCTTCGTGATTTTCTATATTTTGGAAAACTCGGTTTGATTAAAGGTAATAAGAATGGAGCTAATTCGTCGTATCGATGGCAAATTTATATTCGCATCTCGAGGTTTTCTTAACCGACAGGTCTCCTCTGGAAACAAAAGTCGTCTGTTACTTTGACATCGTCCAAACAACTACAGGAATCCATCTAACTACCATCGTTAGCCACGTGCATAGCATTTTGTGTTTCGGAAAACTTGGTACA